CTCTCTCTCTCTCTCTCTCTCTCTCTCTCTCTCTCTCTCTCTCTCTCTCTCCTTTTTGTCACTTTCATCTTCTCACTCGCAATTAAAGTATATACCCTCCCCCCTTGTCCACCCCCTCCACCTCCAGAACATCAACCCTTCTGCCATCTGTCTCTGTTCACATTCCTTACTTTCGTATAAACTATAAACCGTACCTCTCCTTGTTCTCTCCCCACTCCCCAGCCCCCACCCTCTTTTTTAAAAGAGTTTTAGTTGAAGTTTCCAGCACTTGCAGCACAAGTAGGTCATATAGATCGAAGTGCCAGATATTAGAGGTGTTACAAGAGAGCGACGTACAAAGAAAAGAAAAAGGACAAAAATATGTACAATTGATATTTGATAAGAAAGAGGGAGCAAACCACACCGAAGCCCTCACCAACCGCGCCCTTCTTCTCCTTCCCCATTCCCAAAAATTGGCGGAAGCTAAAATCTACAACGTGCTGTGAATGGACAAAACTTATGGACGAGCCCCCCCCCCCAGGGCTATTCCGCGGTAACTGACGGGACAAATGAGGCCCACGTACTTTGTCTGCCCCGTCAGTTATCGAAATTAAATACATCTCTGAATTTGCATAAAGTACTCTTTTTTCAAATGACTGCATAAAAGATGATCCTATAATATTATATACCTTTCAAACGTTCTGAGCAATTAAAGTTGAAATAAATTAATTGGACACACAATGTGGAAAGAAGCATTGGAGAATATTGTAACAACAGGCAAGTTTGATGGAAAGAGAGGCAGAGGCAGACAGAGGGAACAGATACTGAACAATAGACATCATCGCTGCAGTGCAGGACAGAGGGAAGTGGAGGTCCATGACCGCCCACGCCAGTCGGCAAGGCACCGGATGATGGTGATAGTACTGATAGTCCAAATGTACCGTCAGTCGTCGTGGAATAGCCCACCAGTAAAAGACCTGACTAACGTAACCTTTCAGCCAATATTACACACCACCGTCTGGGGAATTCCCGATCGACCTGTCTTCATCGATTGGTGCAGCCCAATTCTCCGAGCACACCGCGATGAGCTTATTATGTCATAACTAACCATAGACTTGATATAATCAAAGATAGTACAAGACAAGATGGGCCACTTCTCTCTTTGAGCCAATTAAAAAAGTGTCCTCAAAATTTGGTGGCGCCCTC